ATCCAGGGACCAGCAATTTATTGAAATAACAAGTACATTTCGCAACTAAATGTTTCTTTTCTCATAGGAATTTGAGGACAAAATCAAAGGTTGGTGTAAAAATGCAGGTGATGCTGTTACCTGTGAATTTGTTGTGGTACGTAATGCTTATGGGTAATGCCTGGGTAGACAGACTGGAAACATCATAAATGATTAAATAATTATGTCGTAGTATGTGGTAGGGTAAAACGATAAAGATGGTACAAAATAAATATTAGGAGCCATTCAAACATACTTAACGTATACAACGAATCACAGATTTTGCTTTTATATTTGTAACTTTGAATGCTAACATTGCAATACTGATACTGTGTTATATAGATCTGGGCAGACATAAGCCATATTTAGATCATATTATATATAACTGTCATTGTCCATGAAATAGTACAGTACAGAATTTTTCAGGTTCAAGTTAGGACTACATGTACATGCAACAAAGTTATTGAAATAAAGGTTCTAAGAAGGGGAAGGTGACAATGATATTGAACATATTACATATTAGAGAATGATGCAATGATTATGTGACATCAACTTGACAATAGTTGCCACTGCATTCTAAACTAAGGCTATGATTTCTACAAGATACACTGGATAATTTTATTAGTGGTAAATTTAACAGTTAAATTTTTATTTTAAGAATTTGCTAACTCCAGACAATTTCTCATTTTGTATTTATTTTCTACCAGCAATGCAAAGTGAATAATACGACTTCTATCAACCCGAGTAATCCATGGTGGAATGCATTTAGTAATGCATGTAAGGAAATGTACGTGTACACTTATTCATATCAAACTATAGGTGATCTACAATCTTGTATGGCATGAATTTGTTTTTATTTCATATATTTTATTTTTTAACTTAATTATTGTGTAACTGCATCTTATGTTGTTTCAATTGGGTTTTCATGATTATCAATACTTTATAAAGCTACAAGTATTAATATGAAAAAACAAACTATAATTGAATACAAATTGAAAAATACAATTATAAATTTTTTATTTAATTATTACCTTATTTTGAGCAGATTAAAATATTGTTGGGCAAAATAATCTGAATGAATCACTTTACAATAGAATAGTGTGTGCATTTTGTTTTATTTTCTTATTACCCGATTTAAAAAACAAACTTCTGTCATGGGGTACAGAGAAATTCTTCATATCAGCTTTTCCACATCACTGGATTATTTTTATTTTCCAGGAAAATGCAGATGGAACCAGCGATTTGTCCAGCGTCCACTGATTGCAATCATTTAAGAATAGTAAGTCAATTGGTATATAAAATAAAAATTAATTTGTATATTTATGCATTATTTATGTTTTGAACTCTAAAAATAGCCAGTTTTATTGTTTATTATCAGCATAGTGTTCCACAAAGGTGTTGACCTTTTGATAAATGCCTACATCGTCGTCCATGAAAAAATTCATATCCAGACTGATGACTAATACAGTGTTGATAATGGACTTAATATTCCCTACCATAGAGGGCATTTCCTACCTTGTTTCACCTGAATAGTAATGAATATATATTATAGACCACTGGCTTTACATGTTATTGGCCAATATTGACCCCAATATAGAGAATATATATTATAGACCACTGGCTTTACATGTTATTGGCCAATATTGACCCCAATATAGAGAATATATATTATAGACCACTGGCCTTACATGTTATTGGCCAATATTGACCCCAATATAGGCTATTGTAGAGAATATATATTATAGACCACTGGCTATACATGTTATTGGCCAATATTGACTCCAATATAGGCTGTTGTAGAGAATATATATTATAGACCACTGGCTTTACATGTTATTGGCCAATATTGACCCCAATATAGAGAATATATATTATAGACCACTGGCTTTACATGTTATTGGCCAATATTGACCCCAATATAGGCTATTGTAGAGACTATATATTATAGACCACTGGCTTTACATGTTATTGGCCAATATTGACTCCAATATAGGCTATTGTAGAGACTATATATTATAGACCACTGGCTTTACATGTTATTGGCCAATATTGACCCCAATATAGGCCATTGTAGAGAATATATATTATAGACCACTGGCTTTACATGTTATTGGCAATATTGACTCCAATATAGGCTGTTGTAGAGAATATATATTATAGACCACTGGCTTTACATGTTATTGGCCAATATTGACTCCAATATAGGCTGTTGTAGAGAATATATATTATAGACCACTGGCTTTACATGTTATTGGCCAATATTGACCCCAATATAGAGAATATATATTATAGACCACTGGCTTTACATGTTATTGGCCAATATTGACCCCAATATAGGCTATTGTAGAGACTATCTATTATAGACCACTGGCTTTACATGTCATTGGCCAATATTAACTCCAATATAGGCTATTGTAGAGACTATCTATTATAGACCACTGGCTTTACATGTCATTGGCCAATATTGACTCCAATATAGGCCATTGTAGAGAATATATATTATAGACCACTGGCTTTACATGTTATCGGCCAATATTGTCTCCAATATAGGCCATTGTAGAGAATATATATTATAGACCACTGGCTTTACATGTTATTGGCCAATATTGACCCCAATATAGAGAATATATATTATAGACCACTGGCTTTACATGTTATTGGCCAATATTGACCCCAATATAGGCTATTGTAGAGAATATATATTATAGACCACTGGCTTTACATGTTATTGGCCAATATTGACTCCAATATAGAGAATATATATTATAGACCACTGGCTTTACATGTTATTGGCCAATATTGACCCCAATATAGGCTATTGTAGAGACTATATATTATAGACCACTGGCTTTACATGTTATTGGCCAATATTGACTCCAATATAGGCTATTGTAGAGAATATATATTATAGACCACTGGCTTTACATGTTATTGGCCAATATTGACCCCAATATAGGCCATTGTAGAGAATATATATTTTAAACCACTGGCTTTACATGTTATTGGCCACTATTGACCCTAATATAGGCCATTGTAGAGCATATATATATTATAGACCACTGGCTTTACATGTTATTGGCCAATATTGACCCCAATA